CCAAAGAAAAGATGATTAGACACAGGAAGACACTGAGAGACGGACAGTTATAAGAAAGCAAGATGTCCTTGAAAAGATAAGTGTATGTGTGTGTGGAGGAAGATCGGGGTGATCAAAGCTATGGGCGAAAAGAGAAAAAAAGAGAGGTGAGATAGAGAGAGAAGGAGAAAGCTGATGGATTGACCAGCAGGAGGAGAGAGGGAGAACGCTGATAAAGAGAGAGACAAACAGAGAGGCAGAGAAAGAAATATAGTCCTCCCTCGTGTGGCCTGTCCAGAGTGTCCGGTCTACGAGGTAGTAAATCGCCCGGTTCAATGTGTGCTCTCCAAACGCTGCCGCACGTTATTGATAAATCAGTGTGTGTTAATGAGAGGAGCTGATGTGCCCTGATGTATCACGACACAACAATGAGCCTCGGACACACTCACACGCACACACACAGAGTCAGGCTGAAGTGTGCATGCCCACTATTGTCACACTGTCATTCCTCTTTTGTCTCTGATACAAATGCACGCAGATTTTCTCTCTGTGCTGCACACACACACACACACCAATTTGCCGTTGCTGGATGAACACTTGGCCCCCGTGCTGCAGAAACAACTCCGAGTGTTATTCTATCCTGTTAACAGAAGAGAGGAAGGTTTCCACAGCAGCTCCAGCCGGCAGTCAGAGGACAAGACAAGCTATACTGGTTTCGCTTTGATATCCAATAGGCGGCTTAACATCCTCATTAGATCATATCAACCCTGCTTACACACACAAGCACAAAGCCGGGGTGAAATTATCTCTCTCCTACACACTCTACCTAAATTATCATAAAATCTCATCATTTGTTTGTGTTTGTCCCTGTATGAGTGTGTGGGTTTGTATGTTTGTACTTGAAATTGTGTCTCTGCTCAGGGTGGTTTGTGTGTGTGTAAGTGTGTGTGTTTGTGTGGGGCAAGATGACCTTGTTATAAGCTGAGTGGGCTGTAGTGCTGGGGCATCATTAGTATGGTTTAGGTGAGGGTTAGAGGGTGTGTGTGTGTGTGTGTGTGGAGGTGCAGGAGTGAGATAGCGGGAGAAATGTGGTGACAGTAGAAGAGGGAAGGTAAGGGGGAGATGTATGTGGGTCGGGCCAGGACACACAAACACACGTCACTCCGGCCGTCACTACAGCACAGGTACAAAGCGAATGTTTGAGGACACATACGTGCGCACGCACACACAATTGTTTCAGAGTACACCTCCTCCTCTCCTGCAATAGCCTCAAATGGTCTTCAACAAAGGGAACCTGAAGTATCCAGTCACAATGTAGTGACGTACTAGCAGAGAGCGGTTGACACACGATAGCGTAAACACGCACGCTTACAGGCATACGGAAAGACTGAGGTGCACGTTTGAGGTGTCTGTGGAGAGTCCCTGACACACTGGTCTGTAAATACGGTGGGCAGATTGTTAAACTGGCACACAGCAGCTCATCTGTGCTGACTCATGCCACACAACTCTCTAGATTTGAAGTTTTCCATCGGTTAATGTATTCAAAATGGCACTACAAGATTACATAATTAAATGAGCTCTGGTAGGCTGAATAAATCATTTCACTAATGCTTTCTGCTTACTTATAGGATATGGCATTTTGTGTGCTTCGTCAAAGGATTGAATCCCCACCTAAATTTGCACCAAGCTGTGTAATCTCCTTTGGGGTTCCCTGGAAAAGACCTGCAGCACATCATAAGTGGTATCAAAACTACCAACCTTTCCACATTTTTCTCCAATAGGTTGTATCAGAACATTCAACAATAACTCAAGCTGTGTAACATTCGCTATAGAGTAGGAAGCAAAGATAGATTAACTTCCAGGTTCTTAAAGGTAAAGTCAATGTAGAAGCACTTTAACCCTGCAATCTCTTCAATAACCAGCAGACTAGTAATATTGGCTTTATTTTTAAACACACAACAAGACCCATCAAACATTTTAGACTTCCTGCGACTAAAAAGGTCCAGTTACTTCAGATGGAAACAAGTAAGGATGACAGAGACCGATTTTTAATGAACAATGGAAAAAACAAGGAGAAAAAGCAGCACAGATCACATTGCAAGTGGTCTGATGTTACAACGTTGGCTCGGAGTTAAAGATTCACTGCTGCTTTCTGGTGAGTTGTGGACTAACGTGTAACTTGAGTGAGTTAATGGTGCTCTGGGGTTGATCAGTGTTTCTCTACCTGCCTTCTGTAGATCATAACTTGAAATGGAGAAGCTGGTAATGTGTCTCAAACCACAGCCTCCATACGTGCCCGTGATTACGATAATAAATCCACAGGAGTGTGAGAAGCAGTGAAGCCAGCAGGATGTAAATGGCTTTAAACAATGGGAATGGTAGCGCACGTGGCCTTTTCCCAAGGAGCTGGCACTGCCACGGCCTGTCCAACATATTTTACAACCATAATTATAATATAGAGAGCAGCTGCCTCTATGGCAGATGCTGCTTCACACGCCAGAGGTTTCCCTACGTAATTATCACAAAGAACTCGGCATACCGCTAATAAATATCACACAGGTGCACAGGAACATGCATACTTTGCACAGAGTAGCAATAAAGGACAGCGGAGGGCAAGTAGACGGGAAAAGGCAATGTCCAAACTGGTCAGTCGACTATCACATCCGGTCACACACCTGTTCAGATTGTCAAAACTTTTATTAATAATGTGAAACATAGTAATGACAGCAGAATGTTGATATTCCTCAATGTAGTTCCCAATCATCTGAGTTCAATTAGATGCTTAAAAAATATAAGAAAGACAAATAATTAAATATACAATTAAGTTTTATGATCCCCAAATCCCTAATCTATGGAAGCCCATTTCTGCCACTAAAAAAAAAAGTATTTATAACTCAAAATTTCAAGTTATTTTCTTGAAATTTTGACTTACTTTTCTCAAAATTTCGAGTTAATAACTCAAAATTTTGAGTTAGCACTGCCAATCAGTAATTACGTGAATGATGTCATTTCCTTATTACCCGGAAGCTGAAGCCCTCAGCTGCAAATACTACAGCTAAGCTATCAGTATTAGAGCCAGTCATGAAAGCACAAATTGCTGATTATCTTCAGCGTGGCTTCACAAGTGATGAAATCCTTGTGTTATTAGCTGAATTAAATGGCGTTACTATCAGCAAACATACTCTCGAAAGCACCAATTTGTTGTGATCCGGTTTTGAGGGGGCATTCCATGTAGATTACTGACTGGCAGAGCTAACTCAAATTTTCAAGTTACTTTTCTCAAAATGAAAAGTAACTTGAAATTTTGAGTTAATAAGTCAAAATTTCGAGAAAGATAACTCGAAATTCGAGTTATCGATACGTTTTTAATTCCATACTAATCTGATGGTAGGGTTAAATCTGAAAAAAAAAAATCAAGGCACAAATATAATAAAATGACATACCTGAAAAATGATGTGCTTCATCTATTTTGGTTTTTTCCCCTGTCTCTAAAGCATATATGGCTAGCTCTAACCTCAGAGTTACACCTATTCCTAATCCTTTGTTAATTCAGTGAGGCTCAAGGCTCAAGTAAGTCAGTCGACCAGTTGACCAGTGTTGCCACCTTAGCGACTTTTTTTCTAAAAAGTGACTAGCAACAAATCTGGCGACTTTTTCTGGTGTTATTGGAGACTTATTTATGACGACTTTTTGATGTGAAAGCGCGTATCACTCTTACAGTCAACAAGCGGCGGGTACTGCCGTGGGCACCTTGCCTGTGCCAAAGCGCTATCAGGGCAGGAGATGTTCACACCAATGCATCCAAACTGCAAATGAATCGCGCACTGACTGTAACACAGTCAGTTCTTCTTTTGCTGTTATGTGGATCACAAGGTTTAAAACTACTTATAAACACACACAAAGTAACTCTACCAGAGTGCCTATTTCGGGTCACTTCTGCCAGTCCAAGCCCGGATAAAGGAGCAGGGTTGGAATTGTGACATTAAAAAAACAATAACTGCTAAAAGAAATTTTATTTGTAGTTCTAAATAAATTCTAAGTGCATTTAGGACATTTTTTACTCACTTTATGTCTCTTCCACGATGTCATTTCTGTCTCCAACAACGTAGGTTACAATTACATTAGCATGACCAATTATGCAAATTAGGTGATGACGTCATTTAGTGACTTCTAGCGACTTTTAGGACAGCCAATAGCGATTTTCCTTACTGAGGAGTTGGCAACACTGCCAGTGACCAAGTCCACTCCACTTGTACGTGTGCCTGTGTTTCACGACCAAGTCCTGCCTCTCTTTATCTAAATTTAGAAAAGTATTTTCTAACAGACCCCAAAGGTTTATATCAGGGGCACAAACCCTCTTGTGCAACTTGTGCAGCAAGGTCACCCTAATCAAACAAATCAACTGTTTAGTTCAGTGTGAAAAAAAAAACTTGCAAACAAGACATGTTAGTCCAAAGTGTGTATAGCCTGTTTTGAAGGAAGCACAGGGAGAGTAATGGCTGTCAGAATTACAAATGAGAGACCTCTTGACATTTTTACTTCCCAGTAAATCACTGCATGCATGGGCCACATTTACCGTAGGCTTGCAGATTACCAGAGTGTGTGTGCGTGTCTGTGTCAGTGTATGAGTGTGAATGTGTCCACATGCACCCTGACAAAGTCATCACTAAAGTCACAGCACAGGTTGGCTGATGCCTGTGGTGAGTGTTACAGAGCTGAGTGTATTAGCTGGAATTTACTCTGTCCATTTCCTGTACGAGCCCTGTTACAATAAACACAGGACATGTTGGGTACAGCTACCAGGAAGATGGGCTGGAATGTTTCCCAGATTCAGATTAAGTCCTGAACTGTGAAATTACAGGCTTTACAGCTGAGGATTAATCTGTCGTCTGGCAAGTCAACTAAAATTCAGTTATCCAGCAAACAGAGCAAAGAAAAAGAGGGGATTGGGTGGGGGTTACAGAGGGGAAGTGCCAAACTGGAAAAGGGGATTTGAATGAGGAAGGCCTTTACAAACTCACCTGGTCTTTTCTCCATTTTTCTCCCTCGACTGCCACATAATCGAACTTTTGATATTAATATGAGGATTTGCTTCTGGCAAAGTGACTTGTTGCTCTTCGGGCAGGGCTTTCGCTTGCTGGCGATCTGCCGGTTTGCCTGGGGGTCCTTGACCTCCCTGCGCTGGCGGATGAGGGAACTGGCAAGAGCGGCCATCTTCCCAGTGCTGACCCAGCTGCCCCCTCACCAGCCTCTGGCGGCTCGGTGGCACCCAGGTGTCGGGGGGTACCGTGGGCCACCCCCCTGCCCACTCACCCAGGGCGACGGAGCACCACTGAGGGAGGGGTGCAGAGCGGAGGAGGGGGCTTCCTAGGACGAATCAACTGGGAGGGAACAGAAAAAGAAGGAGAGGAAGGGAGGAAGAGTTGGAGGTGGAGGAAAGAGAAGGGTGGATCCTTTAAAAGCCCTCCCAAGTCTGACAACCACTGCTCACGGAGGTTTGGATGAGTGGTCGTTTGCCTTTATATGTCCTTCTGGGATTTGTGCGTTGTGGTTGGGAGACCGATTCAAGTAAAGCTTTCACATGTCACTCTACCTCTGCCAGGACGAGTCATGTTGTTATCCACCCAAATTCCAGTGCAGTGTAGCCGCTATCCCTCTGACACCTCTGTCCCAGTCTAAGAGTACTCCAAGCACAAATGAAGTTTGTCTCAAAACGGGACTCGTCGCATTATAAAACCAGAACCATTAAAAAAACAATGAAATTTAGTCCTCTTCACCTGCTCAGTCCCAAAAATAAGAAGCCTGATGCTGTTCACTGGGACAAAAAAGGGGTCCACACATTAACTCTCCAAAATGACAGGAGTATCACTGTTGGGACAGCCTGTGACTCCCGTCCTTTCTTTGCCTTCACCTGTAAAAATTCTCCACCTCGAACACAGTCAGAGCAAGAGAAGTAGAGGAAGAAGTAGTGACTGTCCGACCTGAGGTATCAGCTCTGCAAGCTGATGAAGGGATGCGGCTTCTGCTGAACGGAGCGCGGCTTGTTTCCTCAGCATCTTTCAGGCTCCCCTGGAATCCCCGTCACGTTCACCCGCGCCCTGAGAGAAGACAGGGAAAAAGACGGAGACTTGACAAATCCAGCATTTCCCAGAGATAGAGGTGACATTCATGAACGAGAGAGCGCGGGGACAGAGAGACAGACAGCGACACAGAGGGGGGGAGAGAGAGAGAGAGAGGGAGGGAAAGAAAGAGAGGGAGGGAGTGCAGTGAGTCTATCTATCCCTCCTGTCGGATCAGGCTCTCCAACTCTAACAGCAGTGCACTACACCACAGCAGAGCGGAGCGCTGTGTCCTTCAGAAACTCATGCCACTTCACAGCGGGGGGGAAGAGAGATGAATGAATAGAGGGAGACAGAGAGAGACGGTGGGAGGGAGAGGTGATGAGGAGAAGGGAGTGACAGAGGAAGGGGGGGTGTGCAAGCAGGTAGCTCTGCCTTACGGTGGGTGCTGTGTTGCCGGTGCGCATGCAAAAGTGTCTACTGGTGGGTGACAGCAGTGTGGTGTGGTTCTGCCGAGTCCACCTGCACAGTCCGCGTCCGTGTGAGAGGAAAGTCTGTGTCTCCGGTATAAGGCTTCTCTCAGCCCGATTGCACACGTGCAAGGGAGTGAATATGGGAGATGGGTGTGTGTGCATGTGTATACACTGTGAAGGTGTACGGGTGCGAGGGTGTGTGACACAGATGACCAGCATGTCGTGTAAGTGTGAGTGTGCATGTGTGACTCGCTTTCCGGCATGTTCCCGTTCACAGTGCATTCACCGAGCGTGTGCTGGCAGCGTGCTTCACACGCTCAATCCCTCCCTCCTCTCGCTCTGTCTGTCTCTCGCTCTCTCTCACACACACACACACACACACACACACACACACACACAGACACTCCCTCCCTCACTCTTTCTCAAATCTATTTCCCTAAACCCTCCCCTTTGCTCCTCTTCTTCCCTCCCTTTTCTCCTCCCCCTCTGTCATTCAGATCTCTCCTTCTACGTCTGAGATTCACCGTCGCCTCCTCCCCTATCTCCCATCTATCACCTCTCATATGTTATACCAGTTCAGACCAAGCCACCTCCACTCCACAACATCTAAAGTGATGTTACCTTAAAGAGTCCAACTAAGCAAGGTTGTCGGTGCTGCATTCTCCGCCGTGATGAGGACATACAGATGCTGTGACACATAGCCTGATTCAGTCAGGACCTCCTATCTCTGCCGTCATGTTATCTGCACACAAACACAACATCACATAGTTATGGGGTCATATCACGCAGAATGAAACGAGAGTGTTTACACCCAGACTTTGGTTAATGGGCCTAAATTGCACTGTAAGGTTTTGTACAGACACCAGTATGGAAGACAGGCTAGACAGCTAGCTCATTAAACGCTCTAGTAAAGTACATTAAACATCATGTAAATTTACCCAGAACTCACTTTTCTCAACTTAGAACAGGCAGATACTCACTTTTAATGCCGTGGCTAACAAGACGCTGTCTGTTCTTCTTAGTTTCCATTTTCTGTAATTCAAGCTGGAGCTCAGTTTCCTCCAGCTCAAGCACAACACTCAAACGCTCCACGCGTAGCATTTCTGATAGCATTTGTTCGTTCTTCCAATAAGAATTAATTATTGACCCATAGTGTCCCGGTTTCTTACCAATCTGACCATATTGAACTAATGCACATTCCCAGACGTGTGCGGTTAACCTGAACAAAGACAAAAAAAATGTAAAAAATAAAATATTAATATATTTGATGAATTGCCTTGAAATTATGTATTCATGGAACAATGGACCAGCTTGCTAACCTTTCAAGGATACTTGAGGGTGTGTGGTAGTTTGTCCAGTCGGCCTACTTTGTGGCCTTGGAGAAGGAATTCAACCAAATCAGTTGGAAAGTTGGTTCGGGAGCATGTTTTGGTGCTGTTAGACCCGTTGGGTGTCAGTGTCCAACTGTTATTTCTTGCAAAACCTTCACAGACAGGATTTCTGGACACAGCCAGGGCCTAGAAGGTATCAGGTTTGGTGGTGTCAGGATGATATCTATGCTTTGTGGATGATGTGGTCCTGTTGACTTTGTTGAGCGATGTAGCTGAGTACAAAGACGTTGGTACACTCTACCTGAGTGCTCGAAGCACTTTGTACAACTTGCTGTATTTAAACTACCACACTTTCCCTGCCCTCAATGCTTTTTCTAAATAAGTACTTTCTCTCTAACATTCACACTCTGAAGGATTCATCGGAGAGCAACTTCGGGTTAGGGATCGAAAAACCAGCCTTTCAATTATCAGATGATCTGCTCAACCTCCTAAACCAGAACTGGCACATCATCTCAGGAGCTTGATCAGGTGTGTCCTCAGAGTTTGTTTTTGGGTTTGTTGGTTTTTTGTTTGTTGGTTTTTTGTCATTATTCTGCATATAAAGACTGAGGTCTATTATAAGTATTCTGTGGTACTGGCCTACATACTTGAAAAAACTTTGGCCACACCAATAAACACAAGTTCACTGTATGTGCGCTATCTGCCTATTAGTTTGGGCTCAGCAGCCACTTTGTTGGAAATGCTGTTATGTCCAGCTTCTGTCTAGCATACATGGTAGATGTGAAAATGGTCAAATAAAGTCTTTGAGCATTATGACCTTGAGTAGTATTTTTTGGGTGACACTTCTGATGTTCCATCAATGATGCCTAAAATTTTCTGGACCCACCAATAATCCAAGTAAGTCATTCTTTTTAAAAAAAAATAAACATACTTGTGCTGACTGCTTGCTCAGCTAACATCCTGTAATTACCACTTCCACCAAGGCTCTTACACTGTCAGATAAAAACTGTTTTAATCTCTAAAGACTACACTGATTAAGGCCTATTAAAAAATAAAAGAAAGAAAGAAAGAAAGAAAGAAAGAAAGAAAGAAAGAAAGAAAGAAAGAAAGAAAGAAAGAAAGAAAGAAAGAAAGAAAGAAAGAAAAACAAGTTTAGCACTTTGGGAGTTTGAGCAGGTGATTGTGAAAGGCAGGAGTAGCTACAGATTTAGAGTGCATTTAATCTTGTGAGAGAACTGGCAGTTGCCTCTAACTTCAGCTGACATCTCCATACATATTTCTGTTCTTTTGGCCCATGTTCAAATTTTGATGCTGGAGGGCAAATTTATGAATGCCCAGACTGAATGACACAGGTGGTAAGCTGGCAGCAGGACATCACTCAGTTGCCAAGGATGTAGCAATATGGTAAATTATGGCAATTAATCACATCGTACCTCTCTATCTGTCATTTATCAGTCTGTTCACCTATTCAGTGATTATTGGACCAATAAGAATCGAGTTAAGTAGCAACAATGAAATTACCACACAATTCTTATTCAAATCAAGCAAGGCATGTGACTGTACAAGCTTTTGTAAGTAATTTCAAAGAAAAAAAGGGTAATGAAATCCACTTGACTATATGTAAAAGACCCCGAGAGATAATCGACTGATGGTGAAGAGATTCAGAAGCACAAACACTTCTGCATTTATATTCTTCAACATTCATCAATAAATAAAAAAAGAGCTGTATGATGGTTTTTTTTCAAATTTTCAAATACTAAAAAATGTTAACAAAAAAGAGTTTTTGCAGCTGTTTTTTTTTTGTCTAAAATGTGTTTTTCATTGCCAATATTTTCCCATCAATGCACCTAGAAGTTGTTTGCTGAGTCCCATTAAGCGACAAAAATAGAGGAACACATTCCTGACTGCATGCATCAGACCAGTAAAGCATGTGTGGTGCTCTGCAGTTAGGACTCTCTTAAACTATGCACTCACATCTGACACCATTTTGGGGTGGGCATGATATAGAAAGAACCAAAAAATTCATTAAAAGAATTCCCAGTAAACCTGCACTTTTTCTTGGAATGCCCAATCACTACTTTTAACACATATTTTCACCAGTATACCACCAAATGTTACTTTTTATATCAAGCAAAAATCTTTATGGAAGTGTCTTAAACCTCTCTTTTTTTTAATGGCCAGCAGTGGGTGATTTCTCTGATGATTTCCAACAAGAAGTTCAGCTGTATAAGTCTATAATATACGCTATAATGTTATAATATAGCATATATACAGTGTTGGTCAAGTTACTTGAAAAAAGTAATCAGTAACTAATTACTGATTACTTCCCCAAAAAAGTAATCCCGTTACTTTACTGATTACTTATTTAAGTAATTAATTGCTGAGTTACTTAGTTACTTAGTTACTTCTTAAAAACACGATTTACAACCTGAAGAGGTGATAAAGCGATAGATCTTTCAGCCCAATTCTACTTTTTCTGCATAATCCATCATACAAAATGTAATCAAATGGAAAAGTCTCTTTTTTTAACTTGTTTTATCAGTTTTAATCTTTTAACTTTATGCATCAAATAAATATTAAATTATATGCACCATTCTCTGACTTGAAGAACTTAGTTTAATATTTAAACTTATTTTCTGCACATTCCAGCACATAAAATAAAATATTTTTTATGTTTACACTCAGTCTTTCAAATAGAATCAAGTAAAACACAGCAGAAAATAAATAAAATCAAAGACTAACGGTCCTGTTGCTCTATTTTCACCTGTAAAGCAGGAGTTGGGTAGGCGGAGGTTTACCCTGGTGCAGGTGTGCCGCAGCGGTCAGTGGAAGAATCCGCGAGTTTCTCTGTGAGTTTCCCATTACGTCGTTGCGCACTCGGTGCTTGCTTGGAAGTTTAGGGGGTTTTTTCGCTGTAAAAAGAAGTTTTCTTCCCACGCACGATGGACGCTAATGTTTTTGTCACTTTTTATGGAATCAAACTGAAAGTAAGGTCAGTACCTCCACGCTTTAAACGCTGCACGCTCATACTCTCTCCTGCACTCAATATATTATCCATTGTTGATCTGTACACAGCTGTTGTCACGAATGTCGCACTCGCTTACGTCAATGTCATGAGACATTCTCGCAAAAAAAAATCACGGTTTTAGTAACGCAGTAACGCAGCGTTCCTACGGGAAAGTAACGGTAATCTAATTACTGTTTTGCGATAGTAATCCCTTACTTTACTCGTTATTTTTTTTAAAGTAATCAGATTACAGTAACGCGTTACAAGTAGCGCGTTACTGCCCATCTCTGCATATATATCCTATATAATATAGGGTACATGGTGTTTTTTTTTTGATGGATTGATTTCAGCACAGGCTTACTGTGTGAATGACAAGCTGGTACTGTATGAGTGGGGAACAGGTTGGTGCTTGATAAGGAGAGGATCCTGGTCTTGAATATGGAGTATATTCTACCTGCGCCTGTGTGGCTTTTTCTGTGGG